CACCTGTACTCCTGTTCCAAACTCTTTAGCTATCCTGCTTAGTTGCTCATAGTCCATTGAAATTGTTTTCAGGGTCATTGTTTCATTCATCCCAACATGAAAGAGGAGAAAGGGAAAATAATAGATAGTCTTGATTATTTTGGTGCTCCTTTCCATCACATCTTTAATCTTTGCCTCTGGAAGACCTTTGCCTTCCCTTAAGAATTTGTCTGGTCTACAGATTGTTGACTCTGTTCCTTTAAGCCGAGACTCTCCAATCACAAACACTCACCTTTTTTCCTTTGGTGAAAACTGAGCTACTTTATTTTTTGTCACTTGTACATTTGGCAAAGTTTTTTCTTCAGGTGTCTGTTTGTTTCCTTCCTGGGGTAGGATATGAAATATGAAATTTCAGAGAGGGCAGGGGTTGTGTTCTTAATTTTTGTTCTTATTGTCCTTCTAAGCATGACATGCTGCCCTTGCTCTTCATTTTTGTCTTCCTTACTATGTTCTGTTTGGATAGAGATTTATGATTCTTCTTCCCTTCGTATGCTCTGTTGAATGGAGACTTCTGAATTTCATAGAAGGCAAGCTGTTCCATTGGTTGATTGTTCTCACTGTCAGAAAATTTCTCCTTATTTCCAGGTTGAATCTCTCTATGTTCAGTTTCCATTCATTATTCCTTATTTGGTTTTCAGGTGCTTTGAAAAATAGGTGACCCCCTCCTCTCTGTGGTAGCCCCTCAAATATTGGAACATTGCTATCATATCTCCGCTGGTCCTTCTCTTCACTAGACTAGCCAGTTCCTGCAACTGTTCATCATAAGTTTTAGCCTCCATTTCCCTAATCATCTTGGTTGCTGTTCTCTGCACTCTTTCTAGAGTCTCAACATCTTTTTTATAGTGTGGTGACCAAAACTGGATACAGTATTCTAGGTGTGATCTTACTAAGGCTTTATAGAGTGAATAGAATAGAATAGAATTCTTTATTGGCCAAGTGTGATTGGACATATGAGGAATTTGTCTTCAGTGTACATAAAAAATAAAATACATTTATCAAGAATCATAAGATACAACACTTAGAGATAGTCATAGGTTACTAATAAGCATTACTGGTAACCTATTACTATTAAGATCAAGTGAGGTATTGATTGTATTCCTCTGTTAATGGAACTTAGAATTGCATTGACTTTTTTGTCTACTGCCACACACCGTTGACTCATATTTAATTGGTTGTCCACTAAAACTCCAAGATCCCTCTCACAGTTACTGCTATTAAGCCTGGTTTCACCCAGTCTATATGTGTATTTTTAGTTTTTCTTGCCTAAGTATAAGACTTTACTTTTCTCTACATTGAATTTCATTTTGTTAGATAGGGTCCAGTGTTCAAGTCTTTCAAGATCCATCTGGATCTTGAGCCTATCATCTAGGGTGTTGGCTATTCCTACCAGTTTAGTATCATCCACAAATTTGGTAAGTTCCCCTTCTATTCCCTCATCTAAGTCATATCTGAAGATATTGAAGAGTACTGGACCTAAGATGGAATCTTATGGTACCCCACTGCTTACTTCCCTCTGTGTAGACATAGTACCATTAAGGACTACTTGTTCAGTATGGTTTGTCAGCCAGTTACAAATTCATCTGATGATGATGCTATCTATCCTACTTTTTTCTAGCTTACCAAGAAGTAGGTTGTGGTCTACTTTGTCGAATGCCTTGCTGAATTCTAAGTATATTAGGTCCAAAGTCTTTTGCTGGTCTACTAATTTAGTCATGATGTTGAAGAATGAAATAAGATTTGTTTGGCATGATCTGTTTTTAACAAACTCGTGCTGACTTCTAGTTATTATGTACTCATTTTTAGGTGTTGGCAGATCTGTTTTTTAATTACCTTTTCCAGTATCTTACTGGGTATTGATGTTAGGTTGATTGGTATGTAGTTTCCTGAGTCTGTTCCCCCCCATTTTTTTTCTTTTTTGAAGATGGGAATCACATCAGCTCTTTTCCAGTCCTCTGGTAGTTCCATGGTGCTCCAGGATTTTTGAAAGATATGATACAGTGGTTCTAAGATAACATCTGCCTGCTCATTGAGAACTCTACTGACTGTTTCTTTGATATTTTTTTCTTGTTATTTATGTGTTGAAAGAAACTTTTTTTATTATCTTTGACTTTTGTTGCAAGTCTTTGTTCATTCTGAGCCTGTGCTGTCCTGACTTCGTCTTTGCAGATTCTGGCTATCTGGTGATATTCTGCCTTAGTTATGTGTCCTTCAGTGGTGCATTTCAAATATTCTCATAGTGAGGAATTAGTCTTCCAATTGATGTCAGGATAATTGAAGTCCCCCTGTTCTGACCCAAACCCTTTTCCAATAAAACAAACATGAACCAAAGGGAACATAAACCTTTTAATGATTCTTACGAATCCCCGGTTAAAAGGCTGCTGCAAACTAATTAACTTTGATAAACACAAGCCTCGCCAAAACTGTGCGAGGCTGCCAAGAATAACAGATAAGAAATATTTCACAACACAAGAGTCTTCAAATACCAACTTAATATACTGCAATGTCCACGAGGCTGGAGTTTGATTCATAGCTGGCTTTTATCTTCTTGAAGGAGGGGCCATTACCTTGCAGCCTTACTCCCGAGTCACCCATGCTGCTGCAGCTGCTCTTTCCTATGAGCAGCCCTGTGCGCATGCGCACTTGGCACAGGTTCCTCGGTAACATCCTTAGCGCTGCTGCCAGCCCCCACAATCTCTGAAGGCAGCAGTCCACTCCCTGATGGTCCTGGCCCCACATCTGAGTCCTCGCTCTCCTCAGCCGTCTGCACCTGCTGCCGGCTAACCACAACACCCCCATTATTATTCTAGTGTGTTTCTATATAAGTTAAAATTCTCCAATACTGGAAGTTTTAATGAAGAGGTTGGATAACCATTTGTCTGAAGTGGTGTAGGATTTCCTGCTTAAGCAGGGAGTTGGACTAGAAGACTTCCAAGGTCCCTTCCAAGATCTCCAAGGTCCCTTCCAAGTCTTATTCTATTCTGTTCTGTTCTACTCTACTCTACTCTACTCTACTCTACTCTACTCTACTCTACTCTACTCTACTCTACTCTATTCTACTCTATTTTATATATTTGTTAGGGCTGGCAAAAAAGTACATCTATTTTTTCTGCTTGGTTGGGTGGCATGTAGTATACACCTATGGCAATGTCATTCTTTTTTTCTTTTATATTGACTCATATGCATTGTAGGAGGTTTTCATCTTTGGTTCCGTGCATTTCTGTGGCAATGCACTGGTCTTTTATATACAATGCAACTCCACCTCCTCTTTCATGGGGTTTGGGTTTTTGGAACAGTTTGTATCCTTCTATCAGTATGTTCCAGTTATGGGTTTCGTCCAACCAAGTTTCTGTAATTCCAACTATATAATATCTACCATCATGTATTAATAGTTCAAGTTCATCCTGTTTGTTCTGGGGAACTTTATGCATTTGTATTATATAGGCACTTGAGGTCTTTATGTCTAACTCTGGGTATGAGTCTCCTATTTGATATTTAAGTTTGTCTTCCTTGCCATCCCTCCTTACCTCATTATTTGACTTGTTTTCTAGGGTTTTTTGCTTGGAATTAGGTCCTGGAGATTGGTTAGCCTCCCCACCCTCAATTTTAGTTTAAAGCCCTCCTGATAAGTTGATCCAGTCATTTTCTGAAAACATTTTTCCCAGTCTTTGTGAGGTGCAGCCCATCCCTTGCCAAAAGCCCATCATGGAGGTAGTACAGACCATGATCCAAAAATCCAAAGATTTTTGACACCAACCCTTTAGCCAGTGGTTCACTTCTCGAATCCTTTGTTCTCTTACTGGGTGTTGACTTTTCATTGGCAGTACAGATGAAAAAACTAGTTGTGCACCGAACTCCTTAACTTTCTGGCCTAGCTGCTTGTAATCACTTAATATTGTTTTCAATTTTTGGTGTCGTTCATTCTTTCATGTAGTAATATAAAAGAATAATAATCTGTGGGTTTTATTATTTTGGTTAGGTTCTCAACCACATCTTTGATTTTTGCTCCAGGTAGACAACATACCTCCCTAGTTTGTATGGGTCTGCAGATGGCTGGTTCTGTTCCTTTGAGAATAGAATCTCTTATCACCAACACTCGAAGTGTGTCATGTTCATTGTGTTCACCACTGGAACTCAGAGTGTGTAGTATGGTTATGTCTGGAGTTTTAGTGGTGTGGCTTAGCTTACATCCAGAATCTTCACTTTTTTCTCATGTAATCTAACCAGTGTATACTTATGGCAAGTTTAATTTGAGTTACACTTTAAGTTAAGTAATTTAAGTTACAATTTAAGGAAAAAGAACCACCGTAAGGAGAAACAGCTTGGGCAATCTCACATAATTAATCCAGAGAGGATCAAAGGGAGCTGATCTGCTTTGGCTCCTACTTGTACAAAGCTTGCAAATTGTTATCTCATTTTTTCTGCAGGGCGGTCTTCAGTTGGCTCTTTGCCCCAGAAGCCTGAAACTGTTGTCAATATACATATATCAGAAACATACTCCCACACACAAAGAAACACATAAACACATTGTTTTCTCTCTCTTTTTAATTGTTCCTTATTTTTCTTTTCTTTTTTATTTAAAAGCATTAATAATTTTATGAGCATTTAAATATTAATTATTATTAGAGCCTCGGTGGCGCAGTGTTCAGAGTGCTGTACTCTAGTCAGCCACTTCTGCTGACTATCAGCTGTTCAAATCCCACCAGGCTCAAGGTTGACTCAGCCTTCCATCCTTCTGAGGTGGGTAAAATGAGGACCCAGACTGTTGGGGGCAATATGCTGACTCAGTAAACCGCTTAGAGAGGGCTGTAAAGCACTGTGAAGCAATATATAAATCTAAGTGCTATTGCTATTGCTATTCCTAATTTAATCTTCATTAAACACAGCACTTGTTGTTTACTGCTAGGCAGGCGAGGATATCTCATACTTCATGTTTTCTCATGGTTTCTTGTCTCCAATTACAGATACTGGTTTGGGAGATTCTCTGTGTTCCAGTCCAAGTATATCTAGCAATACGAGTCCTAAATTGGACCCACCGCCTTCCCCTCATGCAAACAGAAAAAAGCATCGAAGGAAGAAAAGCACTAGCAATGTTAAAGCTGAAGGTATCTCAGGAACTGCTGAAGGTATCTATTTTATGTTCTCACTGAAGCTTAATCTTTATGCAAGTATGTCTTAGGTGATGGAGGAATTTTTATTTACATTTGAATTTGGCTTGATTTTTGTTATCATGCTACTTCCCTGCCATTATGTCCTGGGGCAACAACAACAACAAATGACCTCCCTGCATATTTTTAAGAAATAAGTCAGCTTCTAAATGGAACTGGATATTTCATCTATAATTTTTAAAAATTAAAGCTATTCCCATATCTACTTTATTCTCATATATTAAGTGGGGCTATGTGAATTTTGCGACTGGAAACAGACTTTATTTTGCAAATTTTTCTATAGTTGATTATTTTCATATGGTGCAATAGAAAGTACATTTGAGGGAATACAGAGATTACAATGAATTAATATTTTAAATTCCATTTGGAAGACCCAGATAAACGCCTTTTCAGGATTGGGCAAATGAATCAGTACTGATGCCTATTAGAATGTGAGAATCAAGAATGTGAGAATCAATATTCTTTTGTAATGTACAAAGTAATGGTTACAGCATTTTCTAAGAGCAAAACTTGACATAAACCTATCAGTCCAAAGTATAAGTCCCCAGACTCAATTTTTATCTTTATGTGGTGCACTGTGCTTAAGTTGAGTTCTGGCATAAGAAGTAGTTCTCTGCAGTTCTTCAGACAGGATTTGGAAGAGGGTCTTTAGAATATACAGGAACTTGGTTATATCACTTATTGGTGACTTATGAAAGTAGATTTTGTTTTTATTCCTTAGAACTAATGAAATGTATTATGTAGTTTGGCAGATAATTCTTTGAAGATCAATAGCGGAGAAAGGTTGTCTTATAATGACTGTTCTCTTTATTAAAGGCATTTCAGTCATGTTAGTAGTATAATTTATATTATATAATTTTTACAGGGACGCGGTGGCTCAGTGGCTAAAAAGTTGAGCTTGTCGATCAGAAAGGTTGGCAGTTCGGCGGGGAGGTCCCGTTACTTGTCCCAGTTTCTGCCAACCTAGCAGTTCGAAAGCATGTAAAAATGCAAGTAGAAAAACAGGGACCACTTTGGTGGGAAGGTAACAGCGTTCCATGCGCCTTTGGCGTTTAATCATGCTGGCCACATGACCACGGAAGCGTCTTTGGACAGCACTGGCTCTTCAGTTTGTAACAGAGTTGAGCACCGCCCCCTAGAGCAGGG